AGTGAAATGGCTATTTTATTCTGCCCAGTGTGGATAAAATATTACATTTCTGTAACTTTTGACTAAAGAAGTTAAAAAAAAAAATCTAAAGCAGCTATCTTCCCTTCAAAAACACACACATTTATTTTCATTAAGCCTCCTAAAACAAAATTAATCTAGGGTTTTAAACAGACATCCCATAGTTACTTTCAATATTTTTATTCTTGTGCAGCACTTACCTAAGTGCTTTGAGAATATACTCTTTATATTTCAGAGAAGGGAAAGAGAAATGTAAGGTTTAATAGCAACCACTTCCGTTGAACATGGTGACATGTGGCATCATGATGTTCTTCACTAAACTTAGCTGTCCCTTATTACAGAGTCAAAGATAACAAAGTGTGATTTAGTGCATTTCTCCTCATCAGAAATGTTGGAGATGCAATTTGAGTTTTAATAATAAATGCTAGAATGACCAAATTGCAGACTAATTATTTCCGTATTGTACTTAAAATGATTTTTTAAAAACAAAAAAAGAGAACTATATACAATTAATGCTATTTATTGTACCTCTGGGCCTACTCTTCTAAAAATTGTAGCTTATTGAATTTTCTCTGTCAAGCTTGAACCTTCAATGTAAATAATTGAAATAATGTAAAGTTATATTTTCATGTTTTTATAGATACAACATGACAAGAATACATAATGTAAGAGTATTCCAACTATGGATAATGTTGAATGGATAATGCACATCTCAGTTACAAGCAGTAATCATAGTTTAATATCCATGTAACGGTGCATCAAATATATTGCTATATAAATATGTCTGTGTGCATTTAAGTGAAAAGTGGTCAAACAGGAGTGATGACAGCTGTCTAAGGTTTTTTTAATCATTTTATATAAAAACTGTTATGGAAAGACCAAAATGTTTATGAACTATTCTTATGTAAATTTACAACTGTCCTTTACTGTACCTTTTTGTTTACAGTATAGTACCTTATTTTCTGCTGTGTAAAATGGGCGTCAAATTCCAAGGAGACACACACTTTCTATAACTTCTATCGAAGACACTGGAATTTCCAATTTTTCATGTGTACTATGTCAGAAAATGCTTTTGATTTTAATTTTAAATCTAACATCGGATGGCTTTTTCTCGGAGTGTTGTAAAAAGTTAAATCATACATAAAACATGTTCTTACAAAAGGCAAAGATCTTTATTTATTTTTTACTGGATAGTTCTTCAAACTAATAATAATGAGAAACCAAAAAAGTGTATTTATATTTGTTCCCCCCAAAAAACGCAGCTATTTCTACTACACGACGACATCTTTTCTCAGTTTACATGACAGCGAGGTGCAAATGTAACAAAATACAATTAGCTTTGATTTTCTAGGTAAAATAATTAACATTTTAGATATTTCAAATATACAGTCATTAAGTATTTTGGTCATAAGTAGGAATATGGCTATTGGTTAATTACATTTCTCTTTTTATAATAGGCTAGAGGGTTGGTGCACAAAATTTATGCACTTGGGGAGGGGGTGTCCCTCAGCCCAGCCTGTGCCCTCTCGCAGTCCGGGAGCCCTCAGAGGATGTCTGATGCAATGAGTCTGGCTCAGGACTTCTGGCTGAGTGGCACTCCCCCTGTGGGAGCACATTGACAACCAGGGGGCAGCTCCTGCATTGAGCATCTGCCCTCTGGTGTTCAGTGTGCATCATAGTGACCGGTCATTCCACCATTTGGTTGATTTGCATATTAGCCTTTTATTATGTAGGATACATTCTACTGCTAAAATGTGTTATGCTTTACTATCTTCAGCCATTGCACTCACTGTACTGTGTCTATTCAGCTGCTATTATAGTCATATTAAAGAGCAGGAAGGTTACTTTCTTTAAAAAATTTCATAAGGTAAACCATTTCCAGGCTTACATGTTTAAAAAATACCTTCATTTATTGTTTTACTGAGAGTATTAATAACTAATACTCATGAAAATAATCATCTTTTTAAAAGGCAATAAAATTTCAAATTTAGACAGTTCTTAGACTCCAAAAATTATTAAGACATTTTAGTTGTTCAAAATTGCATATTTAAATTTCTTTTATAACACTTGGTGGTTTTTAATATATTGAATATGTAATAGATGAATACACCAATACATCCGCTTAAAAATAATCTTAACTTTGAATTCTGCAAATGCTCTAAATATTTTGATGGTTTTGGTAGTAAATTTAGCAAATGAAGAGAAGTATTAACAATATAATAACCTCACAGAGTAATTTCAGTACAACCCCTTGACAAAACCATTAAAAATCATTTGTCGAAACTAATTAGAATACAATACAATGCGACTGCTTCCCTTTCCTCTGTTCCCTGTCTCATCACCTTCTAGAGTTGTCAACCCAGTAAACTGAAACAAATAATTCAGGCGTCACCTTTACCTTGAAATGTGTTTCTGGTATTTATACTTGTTTTCAGGTTGGATAGAGTTTATTACATATTGCACTTGAGAACCCACTAATATGTCTTATAAAATGAAGTGTAGTAATTCAGGCAAATATTTCACTTTTCTCCATATCAAATGAAACAAGTAATTTGATTGATTGAATTAGTTACATAGGTTCTCTGCATTATCAATTTGTAAATGACAACATATGATTTCTTAATAATACACTATGAACTTTGAAGAGTTTATTGGTTATTTAACAATTTTTATATAAACTCTGAAAAGCTTATTAAAGGAAATAGAAGAATAGTATGACTATTTAAAAGTAGACTAAATTTTGTGCAAAGGATTCTAATACTTAAAATTGGCTAATTTTTAATCACTAATGTTAAAGATGGGTAAGTACAAATAATCATCATGATATTCTCAATGAGAATTTGAGGATGCATTAAGTGATTTGTGAAAGTTGCATAATTTTTTTTAAAAAGAAGTTCATTCTCTTAATGTATTGTTTTGGTTACACCACAAAACTGCAAAGTCTATCAGATGCTAATCAATAAATCGCATTTTCTCTATTTCTGTGTTTAAAAATGATAACATACATAGACAGCATATGGAACTCTAAGTACATGAAGGTTTAAAGATATTTATATAAACATGGTGATACTCAAGCACAGAGACTAACACAAATGATCTCATATCTAATGCAAGTAAGAAAGTGCCTAGTAGAAATCTGGATCATAAGAATTTGTATGTGTATATCCTGTCTCTATGTATTCCCTTCTTGCTATGCCATTTTACATTCTCTTCCTGTCATTTTAAAAATATATTATACTTAAAATGGCATCTCATTTTTTAGTTTCATTCATCTTGCTTTCTGCTTTTTTTCCTATATTATCCCATCTATTTCTGGCTTGTCCTTCATGAGAGATGTTGCTTTGAGGGCACTTAAAATGCAATTCATTTTGTCAAAGACAGGACTGATAGTTTCAGAGTCTTCTTAATAACTACAATAAATGATGAAGAATTTCTTGCATGAAATAAAAATGTCCTGTTAAGCTCTATTTCTGCATCCCTCACATACTCAGTCCCAATGATTGAAAAATTTGTTATATTCCTCCATGTACTTACGGAGCTGCACATTTCATAGTTTCTATAGGAAATTCAAGGCTCTTCCAGGAGACAGGAAGAGGGAAAATTCTATTTTTAACATGTTTGCTCATCAGAATCTTTTTTTTTAAAGACACTTCACAATGAACATAAGCTAGATCATCATTTTAATTCCACTCTCAAGCACTTCCAGATTATTCTT